CTCTCTGTGTCTCACTCTGTGTGTGTGTGTGTGTGTGTCTCCCCCTTCTTGTGTCTCTCTCTATGTTTATGCCTGTCCTGTACGCGTGTCTCTATCTCTTCCACCCCCCTTCTGTCTTCCATTGCAGCCTCGAATAAAGAATTGATGTGCAATTCTCACCTCTGACCTCCTCTGCCAAGCCTTTCCACCTCTTTTATTTTCTATTTGTTTCTAGTGGCGGAGGAAGAAGGGGAGAAAAAGGAGGAAGAAAGGAAAGAGAGAGAGAGAGAGAGAGAGAGAGAGAGAGAGAGAGAGAGAGAGAGAGAGAGAGAGAGAGAGAGAGAGAGAAAGGAAGAAAAGAGAGGGAAGCAAAGAGCCCACGTAGATCGAGATGTTAGGTTCCCTTGTTCAGTTTTTTCAACCCTTCAATAATCAAGTGAAGTGTAATGGTGGAGTCTGCTGAAACAAAACTAATTTTTAAAAATAGCTTCTTAAGAAATTTGCAAAATGCCGTATCTGGAGTCTTTCTGAGCAACCTGTACCTCCAGGCCGGGAGTTCGGATTTTCCTTCTTGGAGCTTGTGCCTTAGGATGCTCCCACCAGTAGCTTCCCACACAACAAGCACATAGAAGAAGAGGAATCGGAGGCAGCTACCTCTATGGGTAGCCTGGCGACTGCTAAACAACAAGTCTTCCTCTGTTTTTCCTCCTCCCTTTCCCGAACTCCCCATTTTCCCCTCCCAGCCCTCCTCCCGTCTCATCTCTCACATTCTAGTCTCCATTAAAAGAACTGATCTGATGTGATCTGATCTCCTGATGTATCCGAAGGGAGCGGTAGCCCACAACCCACCCTTGTGTGATTTTGGCATTGCCTCGCTAGGCAGTCAGACGCAGAGTAATCAGCAAAGTGAATCCAATTTAACCCATTAAGATAAAATCGGATGCCAGAATGAATGGAAATCATCCTTGCGAAAGCTGTAGTCCAGTGACAAGCAGCCAACTAACTGAACAATAGGCACCCACCCTGCGGTAGAGTTTGTTTGGTTGGTTGCTTGGTTAATTGGTTTTACCTGATTTCAGGTTCCTAACAGGGGCAAGCACTGCCCAGTCTTAGGCTGACCTAAGCAAAGTCCACCAGGAAGTTGAAGGGATAACAGAAAAAGATGTCCCTTTCACCCATTATTTACTGACTTTATTTTTTCTCCTCTAAGAAAGGCGGGGGCAGAGAAGAAAGGGGCGGGGAATTTGGAGAGAATTATTGGAAGGATCATCATATTTGTGGTTGTTGTAGGGGCAAAGAGATTGGCTGCCTTCCTTAATGTTTTTCCATGTGACAGCGCCAGCCACCCCCACTCTTTTCCCTTTCCTCCCTAGCCCAGCCAAACAATGAGGCTCTTTAGCATATCTAACCAACCTCTTTTATTCGAATAACTGTGTTAATTAGCTTCAGAACGGCAGCTGAAATAGACAGTTTCTATCCAGAAGGGCCTATGAGAATAAATTTTCTTTGGTACCTCCTATAGAAAAGGACCTTCTGAAATCAACCAACGCTAAGAGAATTAACCAAAGACAGGACATTATCTCTGGGAGAGGTTCAGCAACATCTTTCAGGGGAGGGGAATCAGAGAGTCAGTTGATCCTTGGTTCTCTCCTTTACTTCTAGCGCTTAGAACTGGAGCTGTCACTCAAACTTGGGTCAGGGTAAATCAGATGCCTATTTCTAGCCAAGCAACTAGATTTACCAGCAAATCCCATTGGTGTAAACCTTTCTTCCTTTCCATCCCTTTTTTCTTTCTCTTCTATCCTCATGCAAAGTTCTTTGATCTGTTAACCTCCCCCATAGCGTTTGGATCCCAATCAGGAGTAAATGAGTGGGAAATCTTCGAAGTGCCCAAGGTTCTTACACTTGGCTGATTCAAGCGTCTTGAATTAAGATAGCAAGGTGGATGACATTAGAACTCAAAGGGCATTATATTTGGGAGAAGGTTCTTTACCTTTGTCCACCTCCACCTAGCCTATTTGAGCCTGGTTGCACTGGGAAAGAACAGAGCCATAAATGGTGAAGGTCTCCAGTTCTAAACTAAGCATTACAAACTCTGCCAGCCAGTTTCTAGGAAAACTGTGATGTACTGCTCCGTGTGGCCAATATGGAACCGTATATAGCAAATTAGCAACCCTCCTCCTGTGTATAGTCCATTAATAATATTCAATCAGACTTTGCCTCCAAGCTATTATTGGATTCAAAGATGCTGCCGATGGGTTTCACTTAATTTTCTCAGAACCAGGACCGACTGTGAAGATTTTAAAAGGTTTTGTCCCTACTACTTAAAGACTCCTTCCCAGGAGTTTAAAAAATCTGCCTGCCAAGGGCAATTTCTAAATAGAGCCCTGGGTCTGAAGTTAATTCTGAGCATAGAAAGGAGATATGACAGCAAGTGGAAAGAACAGAAAACTGAGGTTGATTCTGTGCCAACACAAGAAGTCCATTTGATTCCCAGTGAATTCACTGTAATGCCAAGAAGCCATATTTCACTTGCCTGGCGCAGTGGCTCTGTCCTGTGGTCTCTTCTGGCGGGTGTTTCTATCTGTGCCAAATTCTGTGCTGCCAGGGGATGGTTGTAGAAGCAAACACGAGGAAAGATTCTTTGAGGAACAGAATACAGGTTAGAGGAAGCTGTCTAATGTTGTCACCGGGGGCAGCTCACACGCTTCCCATGGTCATCATCAGTTATCCCATCAGGAACAAACCTCAAACATGGCTTGGGAAGCCAACATTTTAATCTCTGAAAATAAAATTAGTTCCGCCTCTGCTCCCCTCAATTACCAGCATCTAAATGGTTGGAAGAGAAAGGAGAATATGCAAGAGCATAATAAGCCACCTGCTGCGCCGTGTCTCAATAATAGCATGTTCTATTTCATTGTTACAGTACATGATTGCTGCCCAGATAACGCCACTAGACCTCATTCTGGAAATTCTCCAGCTAATAAGTGAATCGAAGGTGCAGGATTTTCCTGGTTGACAATAAGAATAACAAGCTCTTATTGGGTCATTGAATTTTAGAAACGATCATTTGATTTCCTGCACAACGGGGTAAAAGGAATGCTCGGAAACCTTTAAATAGCAGTCCAGCTTAATACGAAGTTTTGCTAGACTGTGTGTCCACACGCGTCCGTACATACACACAGTAATATGCCCTCATTTTTACTTTACAACGTGTGAATACAATATAGCTCCAAGCACTTTAAGTGAGTCCCATTTATGTGGTCCTATTCTGTTTCATGTGGGAGCGGTCTCAGTACTGCCTTTCCAGATGTGTTACTGACTACTGTCTCGTTACCAGAACTAGAGCCGGAGCCTTGCGGTGTTCAGCTGCTCAGCTTCCCAGGGTCCAGGTAAATGAAAAAAAAAAGGGGGGGGAGTACAGGTACCATCACTAAACTATTCTCTTCAGAAGCGGATTCCTGAAGGTTACGATGACGTTGGTCTACAAGAGCAGAACCCTCCCCAGGGAAGGCGAGCTGCTAGAGTCCACCAGTGATGGCGAGAAGTTGATGAGAGCTTAAGGTATCTTCTCCTTTCCTATGCCCACGCCTACTGCAAACAGCCCCGAGTAGAAGAAAATAGATACCTCTCTGAAGGTATCTAGCCTGGGAGGATTCCATTTGGAAAACACCTTTCTCAAAACCTTTAGCTACTTTTTTTTTCTCTCCCCCAAAGAATCTCTTCCTTTTACCTCCCTTTCCCCCAGGCTAGATCGAGTCCTCTGGACTGGTACATTCGTTCATCTAAATGAAATCCCTCTCCCCTCCTAGCTGCTAGTAAACCCGATAGCTGGCCTTGACCCTGATAGAAGGAAGTAGGAATTATACTTCGGTCTTTTCAGACCTAGTGGAAGACTTGGAAGCTGCTTATTCTTGTAATTAGAAAGTAAAGAAAACTAGCGATAAGAAACTAACATATACCAGGGTTTTTTTGGAAATGCTAAACCACTCTTAGGGTCCGCAGTGTTGTTCCCTTCAGAAGCCCGTACTCCTATTAGGAAATTTAAGTGTTTCTTCGACCCTCACTCCTGACTGGGTAAATTCCCCACCAGGACTCACAAAGGATGCTATTCAGAAGGTTGGATGAATATGCCATTGGAAACTTGCTCTGACTTGAGGGATAGGTGTCTCTTTCGGCAAGGCCACGGAAGCTGTTTCAATACGTTTGAATCCACATTTGTGAGGTTAGAGTTTGTGGGCAAGATCAACTTAGCAAGTTTCTTGCTTTTCATTAGGGCTCCCGGCTGCACAGAAAGATCTTCTGGGTCTCCTGGACACATCAAAGCAATGGAGAAAGGTATAGATAGGGGAGACCTCAAATTACTTATGTGAGACCCTGCTCACCTTTCTATCACACTGCAAACTCCTTGTGAGTTAGTGGGAAAGAGTTTTCCCCTTAGGCAAACCATGGGCAAAGAAGAGCTTCTAGAATGGATGGGGGAAGTAAAAGTGCAACACAAAAGAGAAGGGAGAATTGTCAAAAATCCTTCCCTCATTTTTAGATTCCTGACCCCCAGGTGGCAATGATTTAAAGTTTTCATTGAGAGAACAGATGGAAGATGAGAGCCATTCTACAGCAAAATTACACTTCCTGGGCTCTCATATGCCACACAAAATAAGGTTATGACAATCTTTTTATACCTGTAGACAGACAGTAAATGAAGCATTGATTCAAACTCCACTTGCCAGCAGCCAGCAACCCTCCTTAGATGGATCATACATATAGGAGAATAGTAGGAAAATATAAGGTAATATATAGAATCAAGAACTACCAATGTGAACTTATTGCCACTATTTATTTGATGGAGCAGTAATTTTCTTGCTTTAGCATATGTGTCTGGTAATGAAGCTAAAAGGAGGAAAATAACTATTGATGTGTTACTTCTGTAACACAAGCATACAAAAACAACATCTAATTTTAATCTTAATTACTTTTTTAAAAAAAAGTATCAATAAAATGTAAATTAATGCTTCCACAAATAACAATTCTAGATTAGGCCTTTTATTGTATTTTATTTTGCAGGCTGTTACAAGGAAAACACAAATTGAAATAATTCTCAAATATAAAACAGTGAGTTGAATCGCTTCCTCTTCGACAGATCTTTAACGTTGATTTGGCCATATGGACACTGCAGAATAAATAAAAAAAATCGTTATTGCATTAAAAAAAATCAGCATGAAAAACTACAAGGCTGCTTATGATGAAAAAGGAGATTGTTAATGATGTTATACAGCTCATTTGATCTATCGGGCCCTCCAGACTAAAAGGAAAAATAATGGCAGCCTCAAGCAAATGGTCCTAATTAGTGTCTAAGAAACCACTTCCTAAATGCTCCTTCGAATTTTAGGGGTTTTACAGTCCAAACCCTCTCCTTAAAAAACCCCAATCACTTCAATTTATTTGGGCCCTTACTCCTATACAGCTTATGTATTTAATCTTGAAACAGCTATTGATAGAGACAGGAATATTCTAAAGTTAAATTTTTGCTTTTGAATACTGGGTACAATTAACATAAACATTAAATGCTCATTTTCAGTTGTTAAAATGCATCATCAATGAAAATATTCTCCTTATCCCTCTAAATCATAAATATATTTTCTTACTTATAGTTTGTTCTTATGTATAACCTTAAATGAATCTTTTTCTTAACCATTGAAAATATAGAGTAATTTGCATTTTACTCAGAATCATATTGTGCCTTAAACTTAGAGCATAAGCAAGTTGGAGTATAAACAAATTCTCTGAATGGAGACTTGCTGTTTATGTACCCTTGACTTACCAACTTCCCTCAAAAGTCACCTCAAATAGCCTTTTCTTTCCAAGGCAGTCTCACAAACTGTGTGTTCAGAAAAAAAATTAGACTTCCTGATCAATAAATATGATGTTACTGTGTACACTATAACATACATTATAAGGAGGAAATAGTCATTTTTAAACAATCCAGTCTCTTTGCTATTTTCTAACCATTCTAGGGAAAGGAAAGGAAATGAGAGAAGAGAGGAAAGATAGAAAAAGAAAGAAAAAAGGAGAGAAAGAAGGAAAAAAGGAAGAAAAAGGAAGATAGAAATAGAGAAAGAAGGAAGGAAGGAGGGAGGGAGAGAAGAAGGAAGGAAAGAGGCAAAGAAAGAAAAAATTACCCAAAGCAAGCCCATGAAACAAGGTTGGTCAGTTTTCAACCATTTCAATTCTGGCAGCATAGCCTGAAATATACTGGCTCTTAGCAATTTGCCCTTTGGATGTGCCTAGTGAATGCAATCTAACTTGAAAAACAGCGAAAAGTTTCCCTGTAATAATGAACTCCAGTGAATTTCAACTCACAGCATTTCAAGGAACTAATGTTCACGTAAAATGGGGCAAAATTCTATTAACTTTAAAGGTCCTTCATTGGCCCTTAAGGACTTCATCGTCTTTGGCTAAAGAAGCTTGTGAAAAGTGCACTCTAGGTCCATTTAGATTTTTATTTGACTTGTTTTTCAAATAATACCTATTTACTAAGTTATAGAATAGAGGCAAGCTGCAGCAATAATGGGAGAGTTTACTACTCACATGTCTGCAGGCAGAACCACAGCAGTCTCCTCTCTGCAAATGGGCCACTTTGGTGAGTACTAAATAGCCAGTGGTTGGATCCACATAGTTTAGTTGGCCAGCCTTAAAAATAATTAAAACTTTAGAAATTTACATAGTCTTCATATTGCACCTTCTATTCACAAGAAACTATAATCTTTCTACAAATATTTGCTTCCTTCCCTGGAATCCAACCCATTAATGACTGAAGATTGCTTTTGAACCACTGTGCATTAATTACATTATGGAAGGAGAAAATGCATAAGTTGGGGAAAACAAAGAAAATTAAATATAAGAAACCAAAAACTCAACCGTACCCAATGATGGCTTAAGTATTCTTCATCTGACTTCTCTGGATCATAGAAATTTAAGTTTCTTTAACAACTTATGATTCTGAAAATGAACAATCACTCTCAAGTTGCATGGAAGCTTCCTTGAATGTGACATTCAACTTAGATTTGTATAGAGAGACTTAAATTTCCAGAAAAGGCACCAATCAGAAGAAACAGCTAGTGCAGAGAAAGTGTAACATGCACTATAATTTTACAATCCTCATCGCACTTTATATGTTTTTTATATCCTTACACTTTCTTTACATTATTTTTTGAAAACATGACCTATTTTGAAGAAAAAACTTTGCTATAAAATATTAATACTCACTGCTTTCAACTGCTTTTTGATCAAAAGCTACTCTTATCCTAACAGTTCCAATGCTAAAGAAACACTACAATTTGCCAATTTAGCAAAATGAGTATTTAGTGCAAGAATAAATCCCACTGCCTCTTTGAATGGAACTCAACTATATGGGCCTCAGCAAAATGCTTGGTCTCACATTTTCATAGGTACACCTTTTCTGGGTATTTTAATATGGACATGCAGTAATTCTATCTTTCATTCTTGAGAAGAAATTCCCTTCATAATCATTTAGAGGCCATTCAAACATCTTTCATATGCAGGGTTTTATGGGAAACATTTGTCACTTCAAATTATTTAAAAGTAAATAGGGGAATCATCTTTGTCATCGAACATTTTGTGCTAACTTAACCCTCTACCTTTCTCTCCTCCATTAAGTGAAAATTGTACCATAACGTGAGAGAGCTCAGCATTTACTGCTCTGCAACCTTTATCCCAGAGGTAGATTCAGTGGGGAAATGAAAAGCAAGCCATTCCAAAGAATAGGTCCATAATACCTCCAAAATTCTTGACACTCACAAAGGCAGACCTCTTGGAAACTGAGGACATGAAACTTTACCTCAGAATAGCTGATACTTTATCATCTCTTCTTTATTTGGAAACTAGGTCTAAATTTGGGATGTGAAAAGACTAGAAATCAGTAGCAACTCCTCCCCTCCCCCACTTTTCAATAGCCTCTAGAAGCCTTCTGAGGTCACCCAGCAACCTAACAGATTACTCCTGATTTTGCCTTCCAATCTGGTTGAGAACCTCCATCCATAAGAATTTAATTTGTCTTCAGTAAATGAATTTCATGATGGTGGTGGGTGGATGAAGCTACAGTCAAAGTGCTGACAGTTTGGTTGAAGAGCAAGATGTGAAGTGATGATCATCAAAGCAAGGTGGAAAAGTAAGAGAGCAAGCCATCTACCCTGTGGCTTTGAAGCAGTGTTTTTAGGTGAGTCTGATTTGTTGCTAAGATGAAAAATCATAACAGTGTCATTATTGGCTTTACTTCTGAACAACCACTTGAGCCATGACACTGACATTGATGATACAACTGTGGCTTTCCCTTACAAAAAGAACATTTCTTTCAGTCATTAGGTGGAGGCAGTCAATGAGGCAAAAAGCATTAATTATGCATCTACTAAGTGCCAGACACTGTGCTAAACACAGGACACAAAAAAGGCAAAAAAAGTAGCCTCTGCCCTCAAGGAGTTCACAGTCTAATGGAGGAGACCACAAACAAACACATACAAACAAGCTACATAATAAATAAATAAATAAATAAATGAATAAACAAATGAAAATGTAACAATAATAAAAAGAGGCACAGCATTAGAATTAAGAGATGGTGGTAAAGACTTCTTACAGAAGATAGGATTTTAGGTGGCACTTAAAGGAAGCCAGAGAATACAGTAGGCAGAAATGAGAAAGGAGAGTATTCCAGATATGGGAGACAGCCAGAGAAAATATCTGGAGCTGGGAGATAGGCACCATGACACTATTGGTTTCTGTAGCTATTTAAAAAAAAAAACTTGCTTTCACCTATGTCTAAGTTAGAATAGAGAGGGAAAGAACAGGAGTATGCCTTATTTCAAGCGCTTAAAAATGAAATGACAAAATAGCCAACAATTTGTTGACAAACCCAGGCAATCTGTAACTAGAAGATTTTAAGGTAAGAAACTGCAGCCTAATAAAAGAGGCCATTGGGAAGTCTGCTTCCTTAGTATACACTAATTCCTATGCAAAAGAAGTAAGATTTTGAAGGAGTAAAGTTTTCATCCATCTAGCTTTCCTTTTGTCCCCTTGTCCAAGCCAAGTTCTGGCTTCAAATGTTAATGAACATTAATAAATCCTTAATTTTGATTTCAGTCATAGGACTCTCCGTTAGTCTTCGAATTATCTCTCAAAGGAAAGGAAGGGTACAGGTAACCTTTATTCATGTGTAAGTTATGCCATAGTTTTGACTATGGCTGTTTTCACATGACAGTCTTGGATACCATTTTTAAAGAATTATCAAAAGGCCCAGCACATGTGAATGCAGTTTAAGTGTCTCCTGGAAACTACTGGTTCTAGTTTCCTTCCAGATATTCTTCTTTCTGTTGTACTGGGGAAGGGTAACTAGGAGGTGGGGGGTGGGGGAAGGGAACAGAAGCGATGACTTTGAATACCTTCTGGGTTAGTAAACATGAAACGATGCATTTGGGAATGTCTTGTATTCCTGCTGCACTAAAGTAATCATTTACTCACTAAAACGCAGAGGGCTTTGTTTTACACATGAAATAAACAGGCAACTTTTTTTTCCTACTCTGCCCTCAAAGTCCACACCCACGTGGGCGCACGTTGGCATATAAACACGAGAACTGCGTGTCGTGGACTCAGTTTACATAGGTGAATGGGTTCGCAGAGACCGTATTTCCCCACATGCTCGCTCTTCCACCTTCCCAGGTGCACCTAAGAGTGCATGCATCCCCTCCCCGTCCGTGCCCAGCAGGCTTGACCGGCAGAGCGTACGCCTCCGGGGCCAGAGAGCTGACCCGCGGCCCGCCCATTGGGACCCAGGGGATCTGCCTGGGCGGGGACTGGAAATGGAAAGCGAGGTGGGGCGGGGGAACAGGACGGCCTGGAGCTGCGCCGTAGCCCGGACCCAGGAGGGCTCCTCCGCGCCTCCCGTGCGCCCACACTCGGGCTCGGTTCGCGGCCTTGCTCCGAGCGGCGCCGTGGCCGGGAGCGGAAGCCGGAGCCGGAGCCGGCTGGGAGCCGGGAGGAAGCGAGCGCGGGGGACGGGGCAGGTGCGCGGTCGCCGCCGAGCGAAGCGAAGGGAGGGAGGGAGCTCACCGCGCAGGCGGCCTCGTGCAGCTGGGCGATCCGCTGCTCCGCTGCTGTGAGCTCGGGGCTCTCGGGCCGCTCGGGCCCGATGCCTTCCGGACCTTCCGGAGCCCGCGCTGCCGAACCGTTGCCGCCGCCTCCGCTGCTGCCGCAGCCGCCTGGTCGGTAGGCGGAACACAGCGTAGGGCCGGGGGGTGTCGGAGTACCCAGCGAGGAGGGCAGCGGCGATCCCCGGGAGGCCCCTGCCAGCGTCGGGAGCCGCCACGCCGCCATGGCCTTGGCAGCGACCATGGCCGCCTCTGCGGGAGGCGGGGCGCGGGCCCCGGGAGCCCGGGCACAGCGGCGGAGCTGCGCGCAGATTTCAAGGCTTAGCGCTGGAAGGGGCTTTAGAGGGCATCTATCCCCACCCCCTTCACTTCGCAGTCGAGGAAACTGAGCCCGGAGAGGATAAGGTAAAAGCACAAGGACACAGCTTGAACCCATTTCCTCTGGCTCCAAACCTCACTACGAAACGTCCTTTCCAGTGGACCAGGAAGCTTGCACCCCAGACTCAGAGTGGGAGGAACCTTGCAGGTGTAAACAACTACCCCCATTGCTCCAAACCCATTTACCGACAAGGATCCTGAAACTTGGGTTAGAGGCTCTCTGGCTCTAAGCTTGGTAGTGACAACGCGCCTTCCTTTTGAGTGGATGGGTCCCTGTGATCATTTTTAGCATGCATACTACCTCTCCTCCTCCGCTCAGCCAAATGGGACTACCAGCATCTGGTCCACTCTTAGGGTTAAAAAAAAAAACCCAAAACCATAAATCCACCCTAAGAAGATCATTAATGTGGGATTTCCACTGGTCGAGATATATGATTTTATTGGTGTAGACTGCGGGATACCTGTTAAAAAGTTTAGTATTAATTGCCTAGGACACTGAGGTTTTAAGTGACTTGTCCAGGGTCAGACAAACAACTGCTGTCAGAGGCAGGGTTTGAATCCTGGTCATCCTGAAGCTCTGGCTCCTAATTTGCTGTAACATCTGCTTCTTCATGTTCTTTCAAACTTCCCTCTTTTCGTTGAGAGTGCTACCTTTCTTTTAGTCAAGTTGGAAAAAGTTGCCCACTACTTGCTTTCAATCTTCCCCCACACCCCATAGCTAGTCAGCTGCCAGATCCTGTTGATTCCACTGCCTCAACATTTCTTGCATTCCTTTCTATTTTTCTCTGTATTCCCATAGCTACCTTAGTCCAAGTCCACAGAATTTCTCACCTGGACTATTATTGTAATAACCTTCAAATTGGCCTCCCTGTCCATCCTCCACACAGCTGCCAAATATGTGTAACATACAAGCCAGACCATGTTACTCCTGATTAAGAAATCTTAGCGCTTCATTGCCTTTAGGATAAAATACAAACTCCTCTGGCATTTAAAAGACCTTCATAATCTATTCTATTCAGTCTTTCCACCTAGTTTCGACATTATTCCCTCTCACACAGGCTACTCTTTAACTCAATTGATCTATATGGTCGTCCTGGTATATAGCATTCCATCTGCTGCCTCCCCGTGTTAGAACCAGGTAGAACCTGAAATCCTCTCCCTCCTCACCTCTGCCTCTTGGAACTCCTGGCTTCCTTTAAGACTCAGCTCCAGGACTACCACCTTCTTCAAGAGGCTTTTCTTGATATTCCTAATGGTTATTAGTCCCAACCCAAATTACTGCGAATTTCTTTTGTTTACATAGCATCTAGAGATACTTTTCCAAACACCACCCACATTGGAAGGATGGGTCCCCAAAGGGGGACTACTGTCTCTCCACTAAGGATTATAGGGGTAGCCCTGAGAAGAAGGAGTGGGAGTGTCTTTTCTAGTGCTATGTATGGCTTGCAAATTCCCACTAATGTGCTTCCTTCAATCATCAGTTGTTATTAGCTAACCAGGCAGACTTTATTTTTGTTTAGGATATTGTGACATATAAAAATTTGGAGAGAAGTAATTATTTTATTAAGCATGCTAGTAGATAATTAATAAAAGGGGTCAATGGAACTCTGAATGCCAAAGATACCTCATGGAACCCACTCAATGCTTATAGGCCTTTGGAAGAGCCAGTGTTCCTAAGGATGGTAATCAACTCAGATTGGTTAACAATGAGAAGAATGGATATTATAATGAGAAGTGAAGGGGCTGGGAGATGTGACTTTGTTCACTCTTTCCCAAATCACCCCCAGCCTTGTGCAATTCAGACCTGGCTGAGTGGAACATAATGGGCTGGAATTCACCTTAGATTAAATTCTTTGTGAAGGTCTCTTAAGTGGGATAACAATTCCAAGATTTCATCTCATCATCCCCCTGCCCTTCAGAGAACTAAGCTTTGACCTAATCTCTAAATGAGGAAGGGAAAAAAATCCTGGATCTCCCCAATATTAACAGTTGGTTATTTAATAATCATTTCTCTCAGTATTTACTAAGGTGGTACAGTAAAAATAGTGGTACCCAACAAAACAGGAGCACACTCTCCCACAGGTACATAAAGAGTCCAGGGGAAAGTGAACTCAAACTTATGGGGGGAGTAGGGGAGAGGGCCAATTAAGCTAATCGATCATGCAATCCCATTTAAAGTAACAATAACATATTCTAACCCTTCTAACCCTGGTACCTTTATTAGGTGAGAATATCTTCACCAAATGCCTTAAACAAATGTATACTCTTGGGACACCCTGTGATGGTTTTTGTAAAATACCTATTATTTTGGGTAGTTAGATAGAGATCCATTATTTGAGGTTAGAAACCATCATTATCATAGTGTCTGGAAGCTTAAAAGAGAGTTCCAACCAAGCTGGAATCTCTGGGAGGTGAAGAAGATGATAGGACAGTCAGTCTCCTCCCTACCCACCTTGACCAGGACCAAACTTCAGGGTGTTAAATGCAACTTTGGGGAGACCTTGGGAGAAATAACCCAAAAGGAAGAATTTTAACCTTTTCCACAGCATTTTTTCTTTGGCCCACCAAGGTGAATGACAAACATTCCCTATGCATCTGGGAAGGAAGAGGGTAGAGAGGGAGGATTTCCATCCTAAGAATTGCCAAAAGCATACCAAAATGACAAATCAGTGCATATCAATCAGATCACTTGGTGTTAGGAGGATGAATGATCCAGTGATAAATTTCAGTCTTAGTCTTTTATTAAGTGACCCAAATAGATAATGGCATATACAGCCCACCTCCAACCAACTCCAGTGTCTTATTGATTCTACTCAGTCATTCTCACATTTATTAAGCACCTACTGTATGCTGGGCACTGTGTTAAGGTCACACCTACAATATTATAAAATTTTCCATTCTCTTCATTTAAGTACTGCCTTTATTTAAGTTGGTGGTTTCCTGTCACGTTGCAAAAGCTTCCTGATAGGTCTATGCCTCTAGTCTCTTCCCAAGCACCCAGCTGCCAATCTATCATATACATTAATTGCCCTCAAAACCTTTAGTGGGGTATCATTGATTTCCAAATAAAGTTCAGAATCCTTAGCCTGACACTCAAGGCCCTGTGTGATCTGATATCATCCAGCCTTTTTGGCCATATGTCTCACTGTATACTCTTTCAAATATTCTACATTCTAATTACACTGGACTCTTACTTGAAACCATCCTTAAATAGAGTATATTTTTTTTATCTTCATGCTTTGGCTCCTATCCTTTTTTCCCCCTACCTTGATATAATCCACATATTTGCCTTTTGGCATCTTCTAATCTCCATTAAACCTCTCCAACTAGAATTTAGTTTCTTTGAATCCTGTATTTGGATGGCCAGCCTATACAACTTATCCATCATTATATCTATCTGAGACAGAAGATTTTACAGATGTATGATGAGCTAAGCCTAGCCTTGAAAAAGAGAAAAATAGTATAGATCACTTTTGCGTAATTGTAAAGATCTTTGACTTTAGCTTGTTAAGAAATCAAAGGCCCAGCTTTTCAATACTAACATTTTAACAGAACTACTATATTATAATAAAATGTGGAATATACCTCCGAACAACTGAAAATGAGTATCACAGAGAAGGCAAAAGAAAGGTGTATGATGGGTATGAAGAATTTATACAGTATAACCAATGAGGAGCTCTGAAAAGGATGTCATTAAGAAATTATGTGACTGGGAGAGAAGATGGACTGGTCATATGGCAAGAGCAAGGGGTGAGAGATTGACAGCCAGAGCACTCTACACATACCCTCAAAATGCTGAGAGAAATTAAGGAATGTTTCCAGCGTATTAGGTGGATCCCATATGGTGAACTTTAGGGAGAACATGGACAAGAGACTTAAGGAAAGTGTGTATGAGTTACTATCTGCAACATTGGAAAGAATTCTTGAATAGATGAATTCCAAACCTTTAATTAAGGACAGAGCGCAGCTCGTACATGTCATTTCTCACCTGGCTGGGCTACTTTGGAATGTCTCTGACTTTTCCACCACGGCCCCAGTTGGTACCTATTCCCCATCCATCCAACCCCTTTTCAACTTCCCTTTGTGTTTTGTCTTCCCCCATTAGATTGTAAGGTCCATGAGGACGGGGACTCTCTCTTTTGGTATTTGTATCCCCTGTATGCAGTTCCTGGCACATAGTAGGAGCTTAAATATTTATTGATTGACTACCTAGAACACAGTAGTCACTTAATAAAGGCTTGTTGATTGATCAAAAAGAGAGATGTGTCTTGTTTCATTTTGTTCATTTTGCACATTTACATGTAGTAGGTATTCAATGTTTTTGTAGGAATAAAGACAGGAGCTGTGATTTTACTGATATAGGAATTCTCTGTTGAATAAGTCCTTTGTCAATGCAGGTTTGAACCTTCTCTGCAGCTTAAAGTTTTAGAGAGTTTTCTAGAATACTGAGAGGTTAAGTGATTTGTTCAGGGTTACAATGACACTTTGTGTCACAGGTGAAATTTGAACCCATGTCATCCTGACTCTGAGACTAGCACTCTCTCCAATATGCCTCTTTTGAATAAATGAATTCATAAGATGGAAATGTAAACCAGACCCCCTGAGGATACCAGGAATTCAAGAAAGTGAATTTAGCAAAGGTGAAGGGAAAATTTGTTTTGAGTGAAATTAGCGTAAGCCAAACAGCTAAGAAATAGAGTTAGAGTTAGCATCAACACTACTCCATCACGAAGGCTAGACAAAGGAGGATTAAAAGGTAAAAACTTTGTTTTCCTCAACTTTGTAGGAAGAAAGAAGGCCCTGACAAGTTGAGCATCCAGGTAGACAAAATCATAAAACTTAAAATCTATAAGAGACCTTAGAAGTCAACTATTCCATCGCCATCATTTGACATATGAGGAATCCAACTACTAAAGAGGTAAAGTGTCTTGTTTGAGATCACACTGATATTAAATAGTAAAATTCAGTGATCTTTCTCCTAATTGACCATACTGGAGAAGAGTAATTTGTCAATGTATCCATGCTTCTTTTCCCCTTGTCCCCTTGAATTCTGTATTCACGGGTCAACCTGATCTTAATTTGGTTTTCTAAGTAAATAGCTCCTTACTGGGATGAAAATTTATAACCACCTGAAATCAGAATCTGGTTAACTGGCCAGTTACAGATCTCATTGTAAATTAATGATTTGACACTAGCTTATATCAGTATTCTTTTCCCTTTACATTTGATTAGTATAAATACTCACACCAAGACTCAGTAAAACTGTTCTTAATGTAAAAGACCGGCTCAGACTAAACCCTAGAGAAGAGGTCTATACCCAGTTATGTATCCTACTTTGAGACCTAATAATAAAGTATAATAAATAAAGACACTATAGTTAAAAAAGATACTTTCATAAAACCAAGTGCTTAAGAAATTAAGAATTTCTTAAAAGTATTTTAATTTTAGGGAATAGAAATTCTTAAAAGTTAAATAACTTCTATGTTTATATAGCATCCTCTCTGAAACCACTCCTCCAACTGGACACTTGCAGTCATAGGTTGGGTCCCCTGCAGTGGGATGACTGCTACTGCTTGTGGCTATAGGGATAATCTTAAGGGTTTAGAATTCTAATGCTATGGCTCATGAAACCTCACCAATGTGTTTCCACTACATTAGACATAATTAACTTTTAACAAAGGTAATATGGTAAGAACAGTTGCAACAAAACATTCATCTTAAATATGGAGTCACCCTCTTACAAATATGCTCAGAGTCTATGGGGCAAGTAGGCTTGAACTTAGAGAACCATGATAGGGAAAAGCATACATAAAGAATACTTGTGGCAGAAGAGTGATTCTTAATTGTACTGGAAGTCCTTTTTTCCTTGGTGGAATCCCTAAGCAGCTCTTCTTAAGTGTAGGTCTTCTCCATCTTGAGGTATCTTTCTTATATCAATAGCCTACAGTACTCTCCATGCCTCAGGAGACTTCCTCTGTCCTCAGACGACTTTCCCCACACATATTACTGTTTTTTTCATTGCCATTAGCCTCTGCCACTTCTGGTGGACACCACAACTGCTAACATTTATCTGCAGCAACTAATATGACCTCTGGGATTCCAGAACTTACAAGATCACCTGGACACTTCCATCTAGGAATAGCTCACCCAAGATCATGAAAGAACAGATGCAGCTAACATAGCTTATATACTTATAAGCAACCTTGGCTGAATGAGAGACAGGGAAGCCACTCTTTCCCCACCTAAGTTGGGGAGATAATTGAAAATATTTCTGCCTCACTGGAAGCAGCAAAAGAAAAGAGGTTTGCTTCTTTTATATACCTATTTAGTTCTGGTTCAGCAATCCCTGAGCCATCAATTCTTTTGGCTCCATGGTGAATTAGAAGTCTTTTCATGATCACACAGTACCAATGCCTCTCTTTTGCATGGCCAGAAACCAGCTCACCTCGAAACTTCCATGTGGTCACCTGAAATGAAACCAGGCAAGGAATGGTTATGCATGCATTTATTTCTATTATACTTCCAATAGATAACATAGAGAGGATGTAATATTCCTAATAAGTCAAAACTAGTGATGTTTTCCTCTTACCCCAGCCTCCTTTCTTATGACTATATAATAGCTTCCTTCTTAGCTCTTCATACTTCCTGACAAGCTCTTTTATTCCATCTCTCTGTAACGTAGATTAGATGCCACTTCTTCATGACTGCTTTCCTTAACCTTGCCAGTTATTAGTGTTCTCTTACTCCTCTTTTTTCTATTTTATTAGACTTACTTGCATTCCTATTTCATCTCTAAAGTAGAATATAAACTCCTTAAATGTAGAGACCTTTTCCTTTTTGTCTAGCACAAATCTTTCACGTAATAGGTGCTCAAAATCTTTGTTGAATTGAGTGAGTCATATGATGTGGCCCTTTGAGGATGATCATTTTCTTTAGCTGATTTACTTTGCTTACTTAGTGCCCATCAAATATCTTAGTTTTGAATGTAAATTAGCTTTTAAAAGTAATAAAACTGATCTTAAAACATTCTGCAATCCAAAAGTTTTATCATCAGAGCAACTTCATTCCACTTTAGTAGGGATTAATAGTTTTTTAATGTCATAATAATTCTAGTAAATTTGCCTTTCAAATTCAGCCTACTCAAGCTTGGGAAGCTGACTTAATTTAGAGACTGAAAAGAAAGCTAAATAAACTTTCCTATTTTAATTATTTTTAGTAGCTATTTTTTTTTCTAATGGGAGTAAGATACTAGTCACATGAGTAACTCTGAGGTTTTTATAAATAAATTTTAGTTCATGCATCTTCAATCAGTGTTTTGTTACATTTATAGTGTCATAGAATTTCTTTGCTTTTCACTTCCACCCAGGTCACTACCTGTCTTTGTTGCTCTTAACATATTTTAGAATGTTTCCTTGGTCCTCCTTCCTTACCTTTTTCAGTGTAATCCAATTTTTTCTACCTGCTTCTCTATTTTTTGTGCTCCTGAAATCATACAATTTAGATCTAGAAGAGGACTTCTTTTCTAACTTTTTATTTATAGACATGGAAACTGAAGTCCAGAGCAATAACATTATTTGACTAATGTTACTCAGCAGGATAGTGGAAGCATAGACAAAACCTAGTCTGTGATTTTTTTCTAACTGGTAGCCCAGTATTCTGTGATTGTACCCTGCCCCATGCTAAAACTATTTCATCATTGACAGCATTTTTGTGCCAGATCCTAATATTTATCTTTGTATTTGACCTGATTATTCAGGTTTACCTTCTGCATGGGAAGTTTGGGTCGGGGTAATATTTAGGAGCATTATCTTACATCCCTCTCACCAATTCATTACCATTAGGTTTTGAACATCATTTTAAATATAGTGTAATTCTGATAAAACAACAAACACCTGTAAAACTCACTCAACCTTAACAGTATTTAGGTTCACATCTTCAGCATATGCTTGTCATTATTTTTGTAATGTTGTTTCTTTAGTTTCAAATGCATGCTCCCAACCGTTGAACAAAAAATGTCATATGAGGCTTTTAATGAATTTCCTGTAACTCAGACTACTGCAGCATAGCAAGCATTTATTATGTTTTAAATAATTGCAAGCAAGACTGAGCAAAAATAAAGTAATATTCTGAAATATTTTTAGATTAAATTTATTGATTTATAATATATGCCTTGCAATTAACAACAGGGTTCCTACCTAAAGACTACAAATGCAGCCAGAATTTATATAAAGAATGCCTATTTTTCTTGATAAATGAGGAACAAACTGAATTGTTGATTCATAGACTTACTGATTAGTTGTTTTGGATTCCTCAGTACTGTCCACAGATGTTACACTAATACTCTACACTTCGTCTGTTTTGTACTGTCCTTTCTTCAGACACTGATTTCTGCACTGGGTGTTTTTCAAATAGCTGGATGGTATTCTGACATGTCATGCTCTCTGCAGAGTGCATTATCACTATCAATTCTCATGATCGAGGGCAAATGTTACATGCCCTTAAGGTTGCTTTTGGGGGAATCTTTCTATCTTTTAATAGGACATCCAATAGCATACTATGTACCACAGAGTTGACCATAGAAAATTCTTTGGGGGATTCTAACATTTGTGTAGCATAACCAGCTGAACCTATGCTGATAGCACAATCAACTTATGACTTCACTGATGTTGCAATTTGGAACAATATCTTCAATTGTCACTTTGGGTTATCTTGTATTGGAAGTGCATATGAAATGGACTATTTTTATATGATGATAGTAAAATTCTATAGTCATAGAGTTTAACAAATTAATGAATATTATTGCATGATATAAGTATGATGTGCTCCTGACTTCAACTTCATAGCGCTGACTTTCCTCCACCAAGCAGTTATTTCTTTTTCAAGTAAAGTGCCCTGAGAAACCTAACATAAGAGCTATCTGAAAAGGCAGACTTCAGCAGCACTGTAGTGTTGTGTCCCACTTCTCCAGTAGACCAAAATGAGGTTGCCATGGCAAACCGACCCAATAGTTGTTGTGCCACATTCTGATGATCAACCTCCTTTTCCCCTTTAGGTTTTGATTTGCTCCCTCTTCTCTTTTTTTCTCTACATTTTTTCCCTAGGTGTTAATATTCTCATTTGATCCTATTGGTTCAGTTACTGCTTTTTCAAAAATGACTCTAAATCCAGTCCTGCTCACTTTCCTGAACTCTAGGCCACCA